TTGTAGAGCGTTTTTTACTGCATCTTTTCTTCATAGAGACAAATTTACAACCACTTGTTTCACTATAGAAAAATTTATTATTCAAATCGAGTCAGGACTTCTGGTCCACCCTTTATACATGATTACACGATGGAACAAGATAAAGGTGAAAAGGTTGAACCATTGAAGCATTTTTTCAATCAACATTTGCAAGCTATTGTTGAACCAGCAGTAAATATTTCAGTTGATGAACAAATGATTGGTTACAAAGGCACAACAACACCAAAACTATTGAAACAATATATGCCTAATAAACCAAACAAACGTGGTTTTAAATTTTGGGCACGATGTGGTGTATCAGGATTTGTCTATGAAGCGGTGCTTTGTTGTGGTTCGGAAAAAAATGTTGTTAGCACATTATCTCTGCCTTCTTTTTTGCGACTTTGTTCTATTTTATCTGATGAAGGTGCCTTTGACGTTGAAACAATGAGAATAAAGAGTCTATAAAATAGGTGCTTCTATACACACTTTCACAACGCGAACAAAAATGATAACAGTTCTGATCGATATACTTCTTTATACTATTTTGTGGACAAAGCAGAAAATAAAGAAAATAAATAAATTACTGTGTTCACAAATACAAGTATATGGCTCATTACTCGTTGAATTCATAGCTCGATGAGACTCTTCTTAAAATTATAGGCGTTATTAGGTTGAAGTAAAAGTCTGTTTTGTTTACGTTTTTGAAATTTACATGAAACAAAGAAAATTACGGAAGTTTTTAGCTTTATTTGCCCAATAACGAATAATCGTTGCTACTATAATAAAAGAAAGTCCTTTCTCTTTTTGCTGAAAAAGTGATTTGAAAACAAGGAAAAACCTACAAAAATTTTCTACAGATAAATCGGTGAAAAAACGGTAAAAACCGGCCGATTGAAGAGTTTAATCGGATCGGATCGGCCGTTAACGGCCTATCCGATACCGATCCAGTTCCAACTCTGGTTCAAGAGCAACAACAACCATGAAGGGTGGTGAGGCCAAGGGGGAAAGCACGGAATCCTGGAATCCTAAATTCTCCTGGATTCCAAGGATTCTCTATGATTCCTTCGGATTCTCCAGGATTCCTTCGGATTCTCCAGGATTCCTTCGGATTCTCCAGGATTCCTTCGGATTCTCCAGGATTCCATAGGATTCCATAGGCTTCTCCAGGATTCTATAGGATTCTCTTGGAATCCATAAGATTCCCTTGGATTCTCTGGAACTTCCCCTCAAAACAGAATATTTTGTTCTGTTTTTGG